CTATTCAATATATTTGTTTCCATTTCAGTGTACAAACAGTTCTTTCACGGAAAGCACATTCTACTTCCTTCCACATCCTGTTCACTCAGTTTTTTCTAAGGACTGACTTGCCATGTTAATTGTGGGGAGGGAGTTCTTTCAGAATAATTAAATAATGAGGGAGGATTTACAGAGACTTTTGCATACTAAATTTCACAGTGCACACGTGCAATTCATGACCTTTCTAACCATATTGTTCATTCAAAGCTTTAGAAACAAGCACCATGAAGTTCAGCCTGCAGTTCTCTGGTACTTGGGTGGCAACTGACGAGTTCAGTTTTAAAACCTCACCTACTTTTGTGTCCACTTTCAAAAAATGGAAAAAAAGGAAACCGATACAAAATAGCTATAACTTTTCATGGCTTAGAACTCCTTAAGAATGCAAAAGCAAAGTCCCCAGAAAAGGACATTGTACCTAACCTCATATGAAAGTAACTTAAAAAGAAAGCACAATCATTTCCGCTGTGATGCTATCGCATTCCTCACAAACCTTTATTTTTAGAGGATTTTGCTTTAGCTGTACTTGTCTGCTCCAACCTAGAGACCCACTTCTCAGATTCCAGCAAGGGAAGCCATACATTCCATTCATTTGAGATTTTAAGATATTTCTTCTTTGATTTCAATGTTTCAAGAAGCAGCACTAAGAAAATAATCAAAAAGCAGTAAAGTTCTCAGACAACGGTTTTGTCTGAGAATGAACCAGAAGGTTCCTTAGCCAGGGCTTGAGTATACAGTTACTGTAGTTAAAGATCCTTCATTAAGTGAACTCCCAGTAACACAACTGCTCTCAAACTAGCCCAGCTGCTCTGCCTGGGAACCAGAGCGGCGTGCTACAACTGTTTATGAAATTTCATGGTTACCCACGCAGTCTGTGTCTCACGTTCAGCGAATCCGTTCCGCTTTTTGGAATAAAACGTATTCGTCAAGCACAAGACAGATGCGACGCTAGGACTCTGTATTTGGGGGGCAGAAATCTGCTCCACTAGGAACAAGGGCAGGGTAAGCAATACTGGTCAGTAAACATCGGGACATTTTTTTGAGAAACCCTAATGATTAATGAAAAAGCACAATGAAAAACAGACTGAACATTTTCTTTACCAGAACGACGACATGAGCATCTCAGACCAACTCACCACAAAGGAGACGTAGCTGCATCTGCACAGATTAGACGCAAGAGCTTAAGACACTCCTGCACACCGATAAGGAGAGGTACCCTACGGCTTCCCAAAGACATGGTAACTCCTACTACGAGCTAGGTGCAGTTCTTGGAAAACGTACTACAGAAGCAGCGGCGCTGAAGTGAAAATCCATGTTTCCACAAGAATTATTAAATAAGGAAAACCTCAAAAGATCAAACTGCGCAACCCTATAAAGAGACTGCGTCTGAAAAAGAGTTTAACCTTTAATTACTAACAATAATAGGAAAACAAAAAAAATAAAGAACCCTTAAGGAAAAAGACTCAGCATGTGATAAGCTCATTAAACATCGAGTTTAATGAAAACCCTATTGTAAGCAGAGGTAGGATACCTCCTCCCCTACTAACTGATGCAAAGCACGTACAGTCCTCCCCAGGGTCAGCTCCAAGCCCAGCCAGACTTCTACAGGCTTTGTCGTCAATATGTATGGTATAGCTAAAGCATTTTGCATGAGCACACCCCTGCCGTTTGTTGGAGTCATTCACTAGCTCTAGTAAACAAAATATAAGCAAGGAAATAATTATTAATACGATGAAGTAAAAAAATATTTCCTAGATTGCTAAAGAAATACATCAGCAATCTGAGAGAAACCCTGATGCAAATTAGTTATGTTTAGGGGAAAAAAAAAAGTGGGGTTTGGGGTTTTTTTTTAAGTTTCGTAGCCCCACTTTGTTTCCCAGAGAAAGACACAAGTCTGTGCCAGATCAGCGCTGCAAGATAATGCCGTTTCCTTTTCATTCTTCGCTCCTCTGAACAGTTATCTTTCCAGCACGCCCAGTTGGCACCCGGCGTCGGCTCCCGCACTTCGGCAGCTCGCACACTGCTGTCCCTAAACAAGGCACACCGAGTTCAGCGCACGCAGCATCCAGGTTTTGGTGTCGCAGGCTGGGATCCCGCTGCCACACCCTGTGTGTGCACCCACAACCCCCTGCCACGGCGTTCGCCTCCTCTGGGTTTTGCTTCCTTAAAATTAAAGCAGCTATAGAGTAGCTGCTTCACCGCTCTCAGACAAATACTTTTACAGCTTACAAATGACGCCCACTTCTACGTCTCCTTCGGTGCGACCAAGCTTAGCTCTTGGGATATTTTACTGCCTCGTTTCTTGCTTAACATAAACTAGCACCATCACTACGGTCACTAGTTTTTCTTCCCGCTCCTCCGTTTCCGATACCGTGTCATGTTCTGGTACTGCAAAAGAAAACCCAGCTCGCGTTTGCAAATGCACAGAACCCTTCTCACGCAAGTCCCGCACCCGGTGTCCGACCGGGGTGGCACGGCATTTAACAGTTTCCAGCCACCTTCACTGGGGAATGGTTCTCCTCGCGGCAGAAATGCTGAAGCCGGACCTGTCACCTCCCAAGGCGCTGGGAGGGTACCTGGCCTAAGCGGTGCGGTACCCGGAGAGCCGAGGGGCTCTCGGCACGCACGCGGCGGCGAGCCACCGCGCGAAGCCCGCACCGACCCGCGC